GGTGGGCCACAGTCCATGAGGTCATAAGAGTCACACATGACTTAATGACTAAACAACAACAACAAGAGTACTCAGTGAGAGAAGGACAGTATACTTAATGGTGTTGAAAAAAATGCATAACCACATGCAGAGAAATGAAATTGGGTAACTATCTTATAAGACTCACTAAAATAAATTTGTAATTAATTAAATACTTAAACATAAGAACTTAAAACTTCTAGAAGGAAACATATGAAATAAACCTTCTTTACATTTGTCTTTGCAGCAAATTCAAAGATATGACACCAATGGTACAAGCAACACAAGCAAAAATGAAAAAGCAGACAACATCAAACTGAAAGATTCCTTTATGCATCAAAAGAAACAATCTACAAAATGAATAATCAGCCTACAAAATGAGAGAAAATATTCATAAATTATATATTTGATAAAGGGTTAATATTCAAAATATATAAACAAATCATATATTTGATAGCAATAAGGCCAATCTAATATTTTTAAAGTGCAGAATAACTGAATACACTTTTTTACTCAAAGATGTTATATTAATGGCAACAGGTACCTGAAAAAGTGATCAACACCACTGAACATCAGATATTTAATAAGTGCAAAACATAAACACATTCAATATGCACTTGTCCCTGAAAAGACAAGCAATAACAGTAATTGGCAAAGACGTGGAGAAAAATAAACTCTGTGCACTGTTGGTGAGAATGCAAATTTGTTAGAGATAGTGGGAAAATGTATGAAAGTTCCTTAAAAGTTACAAATAGAACTACCATACGAGTCAGGCATTCCACTTTTGGGATATATCTAAAGAAAATGAAAACAGAATCTTGTAGGATATCTGCACCCCCAAGTTCATTGTTCATTGTAGTTCAGTTCAGTTCACTTCAGTCGCTCAGTCCTGTCCGACTCTTTGCAACCCTGTGAACCACAGCACACCAGGCCTCCGTGTGCATCACCAGTGCCCGGAGTTCAGCCAAACTCAAGTCCATTGAGTCGGTGATATCATCCAACCGTATCATCCTCCGTCATCCCCTTCTCCTCCTACCCTCAATCTTTCCCAGCGTCAGGGTCTTTTCAAATGAGTCAGCTTTTCGCATCAGGTGGCCAAAGTATTGGAGTTTCAGATTCAATATCAGTCCTTCCAGTGAATATTCAGAACTGATTTCTTCTAGGATGGACTGGTTGGATCTCGGTGCTGTTCAAGTGGCTCTCAAGAGTCCTCTCCACACCACAGTTTAAAGGCATCAATTCTTTGTCGCTCAGCTTTCTTTATAGTCCAACACTCACATCCAAACATGACTGCTAGAAATATCACAGCTTTGACTACACAGGCCTATGTTGGCAAGATAATGTCTGTGCTTTTTAATATGCTATCTAGGTTGGTCATAACTTTTCTTCCAAGGAATAAGCATCTTTTAATTTCATGACTTC